GAAATTCCGGAAGAGGCAAGATCCTGAACAGGGCAATTCAGTTGCCTTCATAGGAGAGGGAAAAGGATAGTACTGAGTGCAGGTGTTTACAGATGTTCAGATTACTGTAGGAATACCTGTTTGCTGTCGCTTATTTATTCTGAGGAGAAAGGTGACCATGATGAAGGGTAGGTGCTGAAAGTTATTTTTTTTAAATGATAGAGAAAATTCATGGAAGAAAAATGAAATAAATGGATAATGAATAAGGAAAGACTCTCTCTCTCTCTCTCTCTCTCTCTATATATATATATATATATATATATTTATAAAGTACCCCTGCTTAGTTCCACTGAGTGTATGAAGCAGAGTTCTTGAGAGATTGAAACCACACATTATTTTCACCATATTTTATATAAAATAGACATTTACGTAAATTTTATTTTGGGAAAACCTAGGCAAAGTGTACAATAATCAGACTTAATTGGATAAATGCTTCATGAGATACACATTTTTTTTTGTTGCTGGGCACAGCAAAAAGTAACAAAAAAATGTACATTTATATACACACTGATCCAAATCAGAATGAAAAGCACTGGAACAAAGAACACGACGCAATTTAGCAAGTCAAATGAGCCCCATTCTGAAAGCAAGCCATGACTTACAGATTGTTTCATTTCTGAGAAAGAAGGTTCTTGAGTTTGTTCTCTTTTTTCCCTCCTACAAAAAGTATGAAAATCATGATATAAATTTAGCAGGGCATAACCTGTGAAATCAGAGTATTACTCCGCCACGTCAAAGCGCTGGGCTGTTCCCCCTCAAAGCACAGAGGGCAGGAAGGGCAGGAGATGAGGACTGAGGGAAACAGGAGCCCCGGGAGGGAGTGGGGAGAGCTGCTGCCTTGTGGGGCCTGCACTCAATGTCACAAACAAAAACACTTATACATTGCTCAATGGAAAAAAACAAATTTGTTCTGAACACTCCCATCCAAACTACAAGAAAACGTTAAAAAAAATGAACGCATGGGGGCAGTTCAGTCACCTGTGGGGTTCTTGACATCAGTGTTGTGTTGTGGTAATTGTATGAAGCCTCACTCAAAGGGCAGCACTTATCAGATGCCCGTGCTTTCCCTGCAGGTGCAAAGTCACTTGCAGAGGCTGAGAGCGCTTGGGACCATGTGACTTGCCATTGTTGTCATGATCATACGCAAGATGGGGATCCCAGGTAACTTGCTCAGGGTGAGGAGGCTCCTCAGTGGCAAATTCTAAAGCTACTAGAATACAGAGTTCCTGATTTGTGAACACATGTTTACTTTCCTCCTACCGACAACCTAAAAAAAAAAAAAGGGAACTACCAAATATTTGTATCCAAATATATACCATAGATGTCACTGAGAAGGGTTTCTGACTGTGGGCATCTCTTACCAGTGT